TTTCTTTTCATTATTTTTCCTTTTGTATGTGTGGTATTTATACAAGTATAGAAAAGGAAAAATTTCCTTCTGTTTCTTGTATTCTAAATGTTACCCTTTTCTCTGAGACACGAACACAAACGCTACGAAAAAACTCTGTTTTCGTTTATTTTCATTTTACCACCACTTTATACTCGTAAATTCAAAATTATATCATGGTAGTTGGACTCCAAGCATTAAGAATCCAAGTAACAGAGAACCCATGATTTTTTTCAATTGGTAATTATATAGATTTTTCGCTTACTAGCATACCTTTCAATATTCGGGTGCAGTATTGTGGAACAATTTACCTTTAAGTGTAAGAATGTCTTCATCGCTTCAGAATTTTAAAATCAAGTCAAGAAAATTTATAATAGACCAACGTTCAACTTAAATTGTTATATAGTTGTATATCTGTGGATTGTATTATTAATGAAATAAGGCATGTATTATTATTACTATTGTATGTTGTTTCAATGTTACACTCAACTCCATGCAATATTTATTATATTATACTGAATGTTTTATACAAATACATACAGTATAACAATGAACCGTGCGCGCATATATTCTGCGCAGTCGCTATTTTTTAGAATATTACCCTTCGTCAAGCAATGTTGACTGTTGCTACGCAGGAGGGCGTGGCTTCATTATTCAGCGGGTAATAGCGTTTTTTAACGAATGTTTCTCGACGAATCAGATTCAAGTAATTTACATGAAAGTATAATATATAACATTGTTGAATGTACTATTTATCATTATGTATTATGTATGTATTTTTATGGAGGGCCTCAAGGAAGAATAGTGCTCGCACTAATTGAGTCACCCTCTTTAAATAAAGTATTATTATTAAGGTCTTCCGACTTCCTTCGGAAGACCTTATTGTTTTCCGTCGGTTTCCTATTATTATTATTATTATTATTATTATTCTTTTTTTCATTTTTATGGTGATATCTCAGCTGTGACTGTACGGATTTCAAAGATTTTTACAGGAAAGATGCACCAGGTTAATATCTCAAGACGTGTTTTTCATTTTTTCAAAATTTTCTTCCGTTCGCGATTTTTGGGGAAATTTGTATTTTTTAAATGGATTTTTGTACACTACTTTTCTCGAAAACGGCTAAAGATATGACATTGAAACTTATGGACATGAAAGAACATCAAATGTAGATGTGCCGAACGTCCTTCATTTTTTGTCGTTCCTACTTCCGGTCGTAAACGGAAGTGAATTCAAAAAGTCCAATTTTTCAACTTTTTTGTTTTTCAATATTTTTCTTTTGGATTTACAGGGTTTATAGAGCGTCTTCAAAGATATCTATATATGTTTTCATTTTTTTAATGCGTGCGTTTATTGTAAAGATATGTTCAAACCAAACTTTGTCTTACTGTCGGGGGTTCGAATCCCGCTCGGGGCGTTCTCCAAATTTTTTCTTTCTTTTTGTCTTTTTTCAGTTGCAAATTACTTTTCACTCTTTTATAACATGTGTGGAACATTTTGCCGATTTTTAAAAGCTATATTTGGAGATATTTTGTGAAATACCTGGAACAATCACGATTTGTGTTGAGAAACTACTGTAAATGAACGTAAACGAAAAAATACATTCTGAAATCTATTTCATGGCATGACGCAGCATAGAACTCTAAAGAAAAGTTGGTCGGAAGACCTACTTGTTGCCCTAGCAACAAGAACGCATCTAGTTATTATTATTATTATCATTATCATTATACCTTTATGGTATGCAGTCGTTAAATCCCTTATTATCATATACATTCTATATATTTTAATATATATTAAAACAGTCTTGAGTTGTAGCACGTCAATCAGGAAAGAAATCCTTAACATTTTTTTTTTCTTTTACAATCGTAGAAAACTATTCCCTAGTGCACTATATAGGTAGAATTAAAAAGGTTACGGAAATTTCCCGCCCTTTTTTCTCCTTTGGGAGAACGGCAATTTAACAGACAGTGATTAATTAAGACAAAACTGTACTCTGTAGATAAGATGCTGTTTTGATACTATACTAGCCTACAAGTAGTCAGGAGAGCGTACTATTGGGACTGACGGGGCAGTGAGAATTTGAATCCAACATGTTGTGTGGATCTAGAAGCCATGTACATTAGATGATCACATTTAAGATGACACACTGACCACACTTCTATATATTTTTTTAATTCGTAAGTCAAAGACTTATTTAATAAAAGTGCTATAACAAAGCAGTATGTCAATTGATTATAATGTATTTTGAACCAGACTGTGTTCTTATAAAAAGAAATGCGTGAATGTTATAGGAGATAAAAAATAATCTTCCTCGGGAATACCAAATTCTTTATGTCAGGATTAATAACAAAACTGTCAGTCAAGGAATTTTAGGGAAAAATACCTTGATCTTGTGGCCTATTTATCAAGATTTTTTTTAATAGAGGTGAATTAGTCGCGATGGTATACACTTATGAACGATCAAACCAATAGTAAATTAATCAATAACAACTGTTTCCTTAATTAATGTCGGGGTTTTCTTGGAGTATCTCAGTTTTTTATGCGGTAAGGATCGACTTACTTGACATACTCAGTGGCTATCATCTGCTGCTCGTTATTTGACCAAAGCGCTGCAGTTCATAACTCGGCCATGGATTGCAGGTCATATTTTTTTATCATGGCAGTATTTACTTGAATTTTTCTAAAACCTCTTTAAAATCAACTATCATAACCCCTGCCAAATTATTGTTGACAACACCAGTGAACGGTAATTTCAGTTGAAGAGAGAGTCACCCAATCGTTTCTTTGTACATTGTAACAAAAAATCCAAATAAGGAATTTGTTTATGTTGTACATGTAAAAATAATTTAATTTTGGTTGTAATACGTCATTTGATTGGATAAAAGAATTAGTTCATATCGTACTTTGTAACATAAGTTGCCTACATCACAATGAGACTCCGCTTGACGTTACTTTTAAACTATGTTCAATTTGAAGCCATTCTTGAAGGAAAATTGTCGTGGAAATAGAATGGAGATGTATATAATGAATGTGGAAATTTAAATTATAAGGAATGAATGTAATAGATATCCTAAGTTATACTGGTAAAACACGAGCTGGGGCAGTTCACGCTGTAAAAAACGCGAATTGTTAGTAACTTATATTCAAACTAGTAATGTAACGTGGTCTACAGAGGATAGTATAACGTAACGTGGTCTACAGAGGATAGTATAACGTAACATGGTCTACAGAGGGTGGTATAACGTAACGTGGTCTACAGAGGATAGTATAATGTAACGTGGTCTACAGAGGATAGTATAACTTAACGTGGTCTACAGAGGATAGTATAACGTAGCGTGGTCTACAGAGGATGGTATAACGTAAAGTGGTCTACAGAGGGTGGTATAACGTAACGTGGTCTACAGAGGATAGTATAACGTAACATGGTCTACAAAGGATAGTTTAACGTAACGTGGTCTACAGAGGATAGTATAACGTAACGTGGTCTACAGAGAATAGTATAACGTAACGTGGTCTACAGAGGCTAGTATCACGTTATGTGTCTACAGAGGGTGGTATAATGTAACGTGGTCTACAGAGGGTAATATAAAGTAACGTGGTCTACAGAGGGTGGTATAACGTAACGTGGTCTACAGAGGATAGTATAACGTAACATGGTCTACAGAGGGTGGTATAACGTAACGTGGTCTACAGGGGATAGTATAACGTAACGTGGTCTACAGAGGATGGTATAACGTAAAGTGGTCTACAGAGGGTGGTATAACGTAACGTGGTCTACTGAGGATAGTATAACGTAACATGGTCTACATAGGATAGTTTAACGTAACGTGGTCTACAGAGGATAGTATAACGTAACGTGGTCTACAGAGAATAGTATAACGTAACGTGGTCTACAGAGGCTAGTATCACGTTATGTGTCTACAGAGGGTTGTAAAATGTAACGTGGTCTACAGAGGGTAGTATAAAGTAACGTGGTCTACAGAGGATAGTATAACGTAACATGGTCTACAGAGGATAGTATAATGTAACGTGGTCTACAGAGGATAGTTAACGTAACATGGTCTACAGAGGGTGGTATAATGTAACGTGGTCTACAGAGGGTGGTATAACGTAACGTGGTCTACAGAGGGTGGTATAACTTTACGTGGTCTACAGAGGGTGGTATAACGTAACATGGTCTACAGAGGGTGTTATAATGTAACGTAGTCTACAGAGGGTGGTATAACGTAACATGGTCTACAGAGGATAGTATAATGTAACGTGGTCTACAGAAGATAGTTTAACATAACATCGACAGAGGATAGTTAAACGTAACGTGGTATACAGAGGGTGGTATAACCTAACATGGTCTACAGATGATAGTATAACGTAACGTGGTCTACTGAGTATAGTATAACGTAACGTGATCTACAGAGGATAGTATAACCTAACATGGTCTACAGAGGGTGGTATAACTTTACATGGGCTACAGAGGGTGGTATAACGTAACGTGGTCTACAGAGGATAGTATAACGTAACATGGTCTGCAGAGGGTGGTATAACATAACATGGTCTACAGAGAATAGTATAACGTAACGTGGTCTACAGAGGATAGTATCACGTAACATGGTCTACAGAGGATGGTATAACGTAACGTGGTCTACAGAGGGTGGTATAAAGTAACGTGGTCTACTGAGGGTAGTTTAACGTAACGTGGTCTATAGAGGGTTTTATAACTTTATGTGGTCTACATAGGGTAGTATAACGTAACGTGGTTCATAGAGGCTGGTTAATAACGTGGTCTTCAGAGGGTAGTTTAAGGTAACGTACTTTATAGAAGGTAGTATTACGTAGCTTGCTCTATAGAGGATAGTATAATGTTATGAGGCATACAAAGGGTAGTTTAACGTAACGTGGTAATTAATAAAAAGGAAAGGACATTTTTGATAAAGCAGAATTTCGTTCTTTTCTTTTTTCTCTATACGTATTTTCCCTCTCTTTACAGCTCAGTTTCATGGTTTTCAAAGCTCTTCAGCCCGTCACCCGTCTTTCAACCCAACCAAGCGTAACGTTACGTACCACGTGGGTGAAACGGCGCTGTTACAGTGCTCGGTGGAAAATCTTGGAACAAAAGAGGTACGTCTCATCAAGAATATGCATTCTAGTGTATCTACACCTGGTTTTGTGTTGTGGTTTGTCAATAAATGGTCTCCAGAAAGTAATTTTTAAGGATTACGCAGAATTTCAATTCCCCTGCCTAGGATACCAACTTTCATTGAAATCGATAGCCTTGGGTTGTTATACTGGGCACGGGAATTCAAATTAATGGACAGCAATGTTGAGGTATTAGCAAGAAAGCTGGAATTTATGGATAATTGTTATAATATCTATATTAATGTCAAACTTTGTTATGCAAATTAATCTTACATTATATATTGTTGCAAGAATGCAACATGGCCATTTTCGCGTCTGGGTTTGGTTTTATGATCTTGCATACAGAAAGAAGAGCAATATATGTGTAAATCTTTATCAGAGGAGAGATCAAAGATATGGAGATGTACATGTGCAATGTTTTAGGATCTATTTAAAAATGAATGGCGGCAAGTTTTATATCCTAAATTTACTAGCGGGCTGCAATCGAATGAGGTCATGCTAGTTCCAAGAATTAATGAAAAGTAAGCTTTCATTTGAAAATAAAACTTCATTTGTTAGTAGGATAGTAGTGCATTCTCATCACGCAAGAAATTGGCAGTATCAATTGGATCATTAGTATAAAAAAATATTGTGATTGGGAATTCTGTAAATCTCAATGAAAAAGGTGAATGTTTTCCTTTCTGTTCACTTCTTTCATGCAACACATGTTTCAGAGAAAACTGAAATCAATTGAACCTGTCACATAAAACAATAAAATCCCCAACAAGTCGATTGAATGATCTATCTGTTTTTAATAAGCTTTATCAAATCTGTTTCACACATCATTGATTTCCGATAGTGATGAACGTGTTACGGTATCTCGTCTTCCTCAGGAAATAATAAAGACACTTGGTTCTTAAGTACATATTTAATTTTTGCAAATCATCTCTCTTTATATAGACTTTCCATCGTTCAATGATGTTAACTTTGTTCTCAATCCTTCGGATCCAAAGTACGATTATTCGGTCTCAAATGAAAATCTTTATACATAGAGCACCACTCTATACACACACAACACCAATTTTACCGCTCAAGTCGTTCTCGCCTACTCTAGATCTATAAATGATTTTGTAAGATACAAAAAAGATCGGAATTTGATAAATCTTAACAAAAGTATCCTCCTTTTCATGATTTAAATCACATAAAAAGTTCTTATCCATAGCAAGTATTTTTTGTATTATTATTATTCAGCTAAATGATTTTGTCAGATTAAAATGAAAACATAACTTCAAGGGCTGCTTTAGATATTTCAAAGGAATTTCAAAGCTAACAGATACCTCTTTTCTCTACATCTTGTATAGAATACTAAATGTAAAGAGCTTTATATACCCAAAGGACCAAAGTCCAATAAATTATTATCTGTATATTTGTTGTTATAGGGCACCCCCACCCCTACCCCCAGATTTCTATAGGGCCGTTATATTGTTGTCGTTTTTGCATGATTTTGTCATACAAGAACAGTGAGCGATAAACCAAGTATGCAATATAACAGTTTTCAAATTATTAAAAACAACAAGCGTTAGACAAGACTAGTACATGTATTTCCTTTTTTACGTTTTTAAATGAAATTCAAATATATCATAAACAGTGCTATATTTGTAAAATATTTCTCTATCTTTCACAGGTAATTTGGAAAAATAGAAACCAGAAGCATGTGATTACAGTGGGTACCTTCGTGTATATTGGGAGTGGAGCATACAGCGTCAGCCATCCCGCCAACAGTCCCCATTACGACCTCGTTATCAAAAACGTACAGCGACACCACGCCGGAGTTTTCGAATGTCAAGTTAGCACGCGGGAAGATATGAGCATTGAAGTTACATTGAATGTAATCGGTAAGTTATTTTAAAGAAAGAGCCTGTTCACGTCAAATTTGACGAAAATTAAGAATATACATTTCTGTAGCTATTCAGTGCAATCTGATTAAAATCAGATTCTCGATCCGCTCCTTTATTTTTTTATAGTCGCTACACGAGGTGTTGCGACCATAAAAAAAAATAAAGGAGCGGATCGAGCATCTGATTTTAATTAGATTGCTATTCAGTGTGTGAATTTTAATCATTTAAAGCAATATGAGCTGCAAATTTGATGTCAAAATTTTTTGTTGCAAACTTGTAAATAACTATTCCAATGATAGAAAAAAAAATAACGTTAATAAACTTCTGTTGTTCATATTTGCGATGGAAGAACTATATATAAGCTTCAATTAAATCAAAATTACATTATTGTTGTTCTGTACAATAATGATTTCTTATATAAAACTGTATATTGGATTGTAAATAGAAGTCTTTCGTCTGCTTTATTTTATTTTTAGTCTAATTGATCATAAAGGTTTAAGTTATATTATCATAATAACACATTTTAATAGCAAAATAAAATTTTCAAAAATACAGCTCATATTGCTCTAATTGACTGAATAGGATATTAGTATTCTAACAGTTTTCCGATGTTTAAGATTTCGCTGATTTTTTAAACAAAACATAGTTCTGACCTAGTATTGTTTGGCTATGCTTCAATAACTCTATCAGCACATTTCTCATCTCAGCCCCATCCTCCCCGATGAGATTATGTTTCTACTAGGGCTGGGCAAAAATATCGATATTTTGGTATACATGTATTGCAATACAATGACAAAAAATATCGTATTGCAATACGTTTTCGTAATATCGATATATCGGCAAAGTGCTTAAACTAAGGAATTTTATCATTAAAAATAAATATAAAAAGAGTTGTTAAAAAGCCAAACAGTAAGAAAGACGCTAGTTTTGGTGTATTTCAGAGCATAGCTTTAATAAAATCAACAATATTTTTTTTTCTTCTGCTAACTCTTCATAGTTATGTATGTTCTTCATGTAAATTAAAGTTAATATCATAAGAAAATAACGTTGAAAATATTGCAATATATATCGCAATATAGTTAAAAATATCGCAATACGAAATTTCTGGTTAATACCCAGCCATAATTTCTACTATGTGGGAGAAATCATGTTCTCTAACTTTTAAATCTGAACATACTTTCTGTGTGTTTCAAGCATTTTCTATGTGAATCTTAGGAGAACTTTAATAATTGCTACAATTTACTGCTCACTATTTTTTTCAGATCCACCTGTAAAGCCAACTTATTCATGTAAGTTTGAGAAAAATTATTTTCATTAAAGCGACATATTGTAATTTATAAAATATTTTTCCAAGTCTGCTTATTTGTGAAAACCCTTTTTTGTATGTATATATGTATAATGCCTCGGGATAGTTTGCTTCAATTCTGCTTATTTAAGTTTGCCTCTCTCTTTATTCATCTATTATTTTCAATTTAAATTATCCTACTCATTATGTATTCATTTAATAAGTATTTTCTCATTGCTTACAGCTTCACCAAGAGCATCCAAACCAGGTACTTAATTAAAAGAGTAGTAATTATATTGAACATACAAAGGACTCACATTTCAACCTCACATATATATCACCATCAGACTCATATATTTAAACTATATGAAAAGCATATAGAAAAATAGTATTTCTTTAATTTTCCATCGTAACTTAAAAAATCGAAGCAGATGGGGAACAAACTTGATATTATTAGCGAGAACAGTTAGAGACAGTTTCTTGGTGTGACTCTCTCTCTCTCTCTCTCTCTCTCTCTCTCTCTCTCTCTCTCTCTCATACTCACGTAATAGTTGCAAATTTAATATCTGACATAAAAAAGTGTACATATAATAAAATAACATACTAATATACCTGTATCTTATTTAAGTGGCATTCAGTTTTGGGAGAGGACAAACACAAAATTTTGTAATTTCAGAACATATTGCTTGTACGAGTATAATATGACAGTCAGACAATGTAATGCACACTTCACTTTGATGTCAAATATATATAACATTTTATAGTTTGCCAATGTTTTCAAATAACTTATTCATATCTGTAAGTACGATTTACGGTTACAGCAAATTTTGGTCCTACTATAATCATTGCATCTGCCTATGAAATTAACCATTTTTGTGTGTGTACATTTCTGTGGGCAAAATTTAGACGAGTAAATAATAAAAATAAATTTTTACAGTTTGAAAGACCATTTTCTATTGACTGTTGTTTGCTATTAGCTCCATTCTCTTCTACTGGATTATTATGCTTTATTTTTTGCATGTTTTGCTATTGGTTTGAATTATATAAAAGACAAATGAGTTAACTTGTGTATTTGGATGCCAAGTGAATTTAGCATGGAATAGAAAGTTTCCTCTCGATGTGCTTTGATCAGTAATTGAGTAAGATATGAAATTGTCTGCGAACAACGACCACATTGAAATGAACATTTCCCAGTAGGGTCGTACCATCCAGAGCCGCTTTTAGCTTTTTTCTGAGTGTTTGTGGTTGGTACTTAATTATAAAAAAAATAAACATAAAATTATTTCATGTATCAGTAGCACATGTACCAAAAATATTGATTCAATGGAAAAGATTTTTGTCAGGACTGAGGTCAAGGTCATATTGGGGGGGGGGGGGGGGGGGTAAGGTTAGATGAATGTCACATTTATTCAAAGGACACTTTTTTGTTGTTCACTCACCTCGAAGATCCTTTGTCTATGAAGACGTAATGAATCCAGTTTAATGTAATATTTCAGCCATGACTCTGACCGGAACCGAGTTTGTAGACCAAGGCGACCCCGTTAAACTTTCCTGCAACGCCACAGGGGTAAAACACGCACCGGAAGACGTCGACTGGTTTTTTGACGGACTCAAAATTCAAAGCAGTGTTGAAGAGGAAATACTTATCACAAAATTCCACAGTCCGGAAACGAGGACGCTCATCAGTACGTTAGAAATTGAACGCAGCAAAATGAAACATTCGGGAATCTATATATGTAGAAGTACTGACGGAATAATTAAAAGCCACACCGTACAAGTAATTAATGGTATGTATTAAATTTAGCATAATACTCATGTTTTATATTTGATAATTACTGGTACTTTTGATTGTTGAATTTGATGTAAAAGACTTCTCGATAAGTTACCCTTTCCTTATCTTTTGTTCCCAGTTTATTTGTTCCTGGCTACCCGTGTTTTAATTTGCGCATATTTTATATCATTTGCACAAAAGAGTTTGATTTTTACGCAGTATTTTTCTGACTGATCTATTGTACTTTTGGCCTATTGAGTGTGTTAGAGAAATTTGAAGGCGTACTCGACTACTCGAGAGAAAACTTGTCATGCACACGCACATTCTACCTAATGTGTTCTAATGAATTCCGAATACTGAGGAAAAATTTCTGTGTAAATGAACAAAAAATGCATGCAAATTATTCGGTTTGGCTCAACTTACTGCATTTTTTCCTAAATAACCATAGAATGAGATAAATTTGCAATCACCTGTAACCTAATAGAGTATTAAGTTCTTTTTTATATACACTCTTGCGTTTTATTTTCTGTTCAAATGACATTTCATTAATGTAGTGTTAACATTATCATGTTGATTGGCAGGTATACGTTACTAAGCAAGTCATCGTGATTATTCAGAAATTTCTTTTTCAGCAACGAGTAATAATAGAATAAGAGCAGTGATAGCAACTGGAGGTAAATAATAATTAAAATTCTTACATCAAGCTCTGTCAGATTCTTAAAACTTTAAAATATAATTCTCTTTAATTAAGTAAACTTGTCGTTGAAGTTGGAATTTAAAGATGAAATATTTGATGACAGTTGCAGCTGAGGCACATGCAGTATATAACTAGTATTTGTAAATCTGCTGTTTTATTAGCTTCAGTCAGTGCTTATTGAAATTAAACTTCCGGAATAAAAGAGGAGTCGATTGGTGCACGTTCTACATAGCACAAAAAAAAGGATCAAGATGTCTTTTAATTGGTGTTGTAGTTAATCAAGTAGCTCAATATCTGTATTTTTGATAGTTTTTTTTTTTTATTAATTGAAAATTTATTATGTATATAAAGAACATTTTGGTTTAGTAAAATTAGTAGCGGCATCCCTGTCTTATTCTCAGGTGAAGTTATATATACTGAATATTTTAGTGGAGTATTTTCTTTTGTTTGCAGGCAAAAGAGATGATAGGAACGACCGACATGTTGCAGAACAGACTGACAATAAGTGTTCATCATTAACAATGTATTTACCTACTTTTGTGTTAATTTCAACATTATACTCCATATATATCTATCTACCTAGGTGAATCGGCACAGATTTGCCCGCGAAGAAAATGTTTCCTACCCAGGTCTTTCATGAATGTAAAGACCCAATTTTGAATCTAGTTCGAGACTGACAATAGTGAAAACGAGGCAGACTTTTCTGTGGTCGTCTTAATTTTGGCGGTTTTATCGTACTCAAGTTCGACTGAGAGACAATGATTGGAGTTTGTAGTTAATGTGACTCTCTCGGACGATGGACAAGAGCAGCACCAGATCGAGTGAAGGCAGTGGTAGATTGTGATATTAAAATTCAACATGGATTGTATTTCATTTCAGTAAATCTCGCGTGCAATATTTCATCCTTGATTTTCCGTCATTCATTTTACCACTTTTATTGAAATTATTAATTACCGTTGTTACAATGTGCATTTTTATAAGAGACAAAAAAGTCATTCCATCTGTGCATATGCCAGTCTTTAGTTGTTGTATTATTAAACATTATCTCAACACGCTGTTAAGAATGATAGCAATCAGATTGGTTGTCATCCTTGAACTTCATAACTGTACAGTATTTATGCTTTTAATTCATCGTCTATAAGGGAATTCCTGTATAGAGGAAATTTTGTACTGGAGGGGGGAGGGGTAAAAAAAACTTGGCCACTTAACCATTTATTTCCCAATAGAGTCGAGATATATTTTATTTTAATGAAGGACGGTTTAACAATATTTTTTTCATATAATTTTGATAGTTAAGTAATACGAATGATTTTCTTGTTCATGACTGAAGTCTATCGTCTTTTGTTAATTACATAAAGTGGCATCTCATTTACTTTTATGACATTTTTTTCTGTTTGCTGAAAATGCTGCATCAAAATGTGTCACAGAATATCTTTTTGCTTATCTGAGCCAAAGGCTCGAATGAACTTATCTGATCAAAATTTGTCCGTCGCGCTGTTGTACAGTTCTTATAATTTTATCTTCCTGTCCAGAATCACATGGCCAGTTTCAGCCAAAATTGACACGGAGTATCATGGATAAAGGGCAGGTTTTTAAATCTCTTGCAAGGGAAGATAATTAGAAATGGTAAAAAGTGAAAGTGGGTGGGGATATTTAAAGACCTTAATAACCACTCGACCAAAAAAGATGAAACACGTATATTAAACTTTCCGATAGAGTGAGGATTCAAATTTGTTCAAAGCATGACTTCCGGGGAAGGGTGGGGTCACCGTTGGTAGAACCGCAAAGTTTTTCATGGGTGTATATAGAAAAAAAAATCTGAAAATATTTTCTCCTAGGAACAACAATGTCATGATTATTCATATTTACACCATATAAAATGATTCTCGGCCATTGTTAATACAATATATAATATTAAATTGGTTTATTTAAATCATGACCGTTTGGGGTAGAATGGGGCCACTATATGCGAAAATACTTGGGGTATATACATAAGAAAAGTCTTATCAGGAATAGCAAAGCCACTCATATTCAGTCATATTTATATAAAAACATCCTCATGTATTGTATATTCAAGTTTATCCAAATCATGATCCCTGGGGGCAAGGTAGGGCCAAAATGAGCAATCAAAGTAGAACATTGAAAAAAAAAAATCTTTGAAAATATGCTCGATCCTAGGAGCAGCAAAATCATGATGTCATGCTTGTATATAAATATTTACAGATGGTGTTAATTTATGTTTGTTAAAATCATGACTCCAGGGGTAGGATGGACTCATATTCGGCAATAGAAATACACTTGAAATATCTTTTCAAGAATAGCAAATCCTTAATTTGTCATATATACATACCTCAGAAGGCAAAGATTCAAGTTTGTCAATTCATGACTTCTGAGAAGAAGGGCCATAATTACTCAGGTGAGCGATGTGGGTTTCGTGTTTCTACTTTTGCAACACACTTGTTGATTCTTTTATTTGTTTGCATTAGTTATAAGTAAATAATGAAATCAATATGTAGATGTGACCATATGGAGAATTCATAAAAATAAAGGAAAACACAGTTTAAATTTAATCCCGATCTTTCTGTTTTGGGAAATATGATGTGAAGATTAGACTCACTGATGTTCTCATTGGAAACGCTAATATAAATTCAGAAATATTCTAAAAAAAAAAAATAAGAATCGATGATGGTTTTTCCCAGAAAAATTATTTTGTCATGGAAAATTTAGTTGGTTATCTTTTCCCCTTGGAATATGTAAAGATTAATACTGTTGGTGGTTCCTACATTTTATTTTCTTTTGAAAAATAAACTAAGTATACCTAACATTATGTTAGATATAGCTACCTTATCTCGAATATTTTCTTTTTTATGGCATCGAGAGATAGCTCGAATGTCATCTAGCTGGCATACGATTGAAATCATTTACGCGACCGAATGTGTTAGTTGATGCATCCGCGAAAGAAAATAACAATAGCAATACATCAGTTTCTTTGAAAATGTTCACAATGAATGAAATCTTGAAATCAGAATTTCATCAATTGTAAATATAATTAATTCTGTTAAAAAACAAAGATACTGTGTTCATTTAATCACAAGAAAAACATGATAGTTGTTGCGGATGAATTTATAAAGAACATATACGTCGAATGACATGAATAACATTTCGGAAGGATTACACTGCAAGATAAACAACCCAATAGGCGGTAACATGATTAAAACATAACCACGAATACTAGAAGATTAAAAAGATTGAATCCTAGATAAAATCTTAACATAAGATTACCTTTTCAGTTTTATAACCAATAAAAATATTTTAACTTAAAAGCTGGAGTGATTACTATGCTTCTCCATTTCCTCTAATTCGCAATATTCTGTATGCCACACCCGATCAAAATTCGATCGTAGTCATAATAAAGCAGAGTCATGGTTGTTGTTTATATGCACTAAAGAAATGATCAGACTTTGACAATTAGAATAATATTGGAAAATTTTTTAAAGGTTTCATCAAGGTCAACTTGTCCAAAAATTTATTTTTACAATAGCCCCAAATCTATGTGGTTTAAATAAAGTTGAAACTTTTACAGTGTATAAATTTATGTATATCATTGATTAACTGATAGAAATTACCACTTATAACAAATACTGAATAAAAATATTTATCTAGAAAAAATTCTTTACGTTGATCAATGATAGTTTTCACTAAAAGTACAGAATAAAGCAGGTGCATTTTTTTTTTAAATACATGTATGCAATTTTTTATATATATTTTTTTTTCTCGATATATTTTATTTTTTAAATATTTGTTTCTTTCAGAATCTTACTGAACATCTACAGAATACTCAAAACAGTACAATTCTCTGTTATCCATGGACTTTCAGTTAGGCGTGGCATTCTCGACGTTACATAATTAGCGTCAAAAATTTACACAGCTTTCATTCACTATTGAAATATACAAGGGATAGAATTCGGGCGAATATCAACGATTGTAGTAAATATCCAATAACAGCGCTTGTACGGCAAAGAGGTGGGGCTTAAGCCGTGTCATTGTTGTCAACAACAAATATAAAGTTCTCAATGTAATTAATTTCTTAATCAATGAGAATCTATTCGCCATTTGAGAGACGCAAATTACGTAGCGCCGAGAATGCAACGCCTTACTGCAAGTCTAAGGATGACTGAGAATTGTACTATATTCAATCTATCCCACATGTTATTTTGGACGATAATTGTCGGGATCTGTAAATGCAATTTTTGGAAATTTCATTTTTATAATAGGGCCGTTTAGGGGATCGAGAAACGTCGTTTTTCACTCTACAAAAACCTGGTACCAAAAACTCTTTATGCAGCAACCCTTTCATCTCTTGCAAAATGATTAAGTTGTTCTGCAAAAATAATTAGGTGTCCAAGTTTGGGGTAAGGGTTTCTCATTTTCAACTTGGGGCCAGGTGATGTTTAAGAATGATGTTTTCAAGCTCATATTCAGGCTTATTTTCTTTACATTTTATTTATAAAACAAATTTTCACCAAGTGTTATTTTTGCCCTTTTACACTTGCAAACAATTTTTCCTTGTTTTAATCGCCAAGTCATTTTTAGCTCACCTGAGCCGAAGTCTCAAGTGAGCTTTTCTGATCACATTTTGTCCGTCGTCCGTCCATCCGTCCTTCTGTCTGTCTGTCTGTCCGTCTGTAAACTTTTCACATTTTCGACTTCTTCTCAAGAACCACTGGGCCAATTTTGACCAAACTTGGTACAAAGCATCCGTGGGTAAAGGGAAATTTAAATTGTTAAAATGAAGGACCAAGTCCCCTCAAAAGGGGAGATAATCAAGAAAAGACAAAAATAGGGTGGGGTCATTAAAAAATCTTCTCAAGAACCACTGGGCCAGAAAAGCTGAAACTTTCGTGGAAGCATCCTGGGGTAGTGTAGATTTTAAATTGTTCAAATCATGACCCCGGGGGTAGGGCGGGGCCACAATGGGGAATAAAAATTTTACATAGAAATATTTATGAAAAATCTTTGAAAATCTTCTCAAAAACCACTGGGCCAGAAAAGCTGAAACTTATGTGGAAGCATTCTGGGGTAGTGTAGAATTTATATTGTTCAAATCATGACCCCCAGAGGTTGGGTGGGGCCACAATATGGAATCAAAGTTTTACATAGAAATATATAAGAAAAATTTTTGAAAATCTTCTTCTCAAGAACCACTGGGCCAGAAAAGCTGAAACTTATGTGGAAGCATCCTGGGGTAGTGTAGATTCTGAATTGTTCTAATCATGACTCCCGGGGGTAGGGCAGGGCCACAATGGGGAATCAAAGTTTTACATAGAAATATATGGGAAAAATCTTTGAAAATCTTCTACTTAAGAACCATTGGGCCAGAAAAGCTGAAACTTAGGTGGAAGCATCCTGGGGTAGTGTAGATTCTGAATTGTTCTAATCATGACTCCCGGGGGTAGGGCAGGGCCACAATGGGGAATCAAATTTTTACATAGAAATATATGGGAAAAATTTTTGAAAATCTTCTTCTTAAGTACCACTGGGCCAGAAAAGCTGAAACTTATGTGGACGCATCCTGGGGTAGTGTAGATTCTGAATTGTTCTAATCATGACCCCCGGGGATAGGGCGGGGCCACAATGGGGAATCAAAGTTTAACAATGGGGAATCAAAGCAGCCTATATTAGTGTAGATTTCAAATTGTATAAATTATGATCAGTGGGATAGTATGGGGTCACAATATGTATTACAAGGGGGAAATCTGGTAAAGAACGGAATGGTCAAAGCCTCTCAGGTGAGCGATGTGGCCCATGGGCCTCTTGTTTATTTATTAAAGCAATATGAGCTGCATGTTTGACATCGGAAAATTTTGTTGCAAATATATTATTAACTATTTCAATTACAGAAAAATAAAACATTTATAAGCTTCTGTTGTTCATATTTGCAATGGAAAGTTTTTTATTAGCTTTGATTGAAGTAAAATTGAATTACTGTCGTCCTGTACAATAATGATTTCTTGTATAATACTGTATATTGGGTCGTACAGAAATATTTCTTCTGAAACATTTTAAAAACTTTTTTGGGCTTATTGATCAAAAGGGTTTAGATTACATACAAATTAATCATAACAGCATATTTTACCTGCAAAATAAAATTTTCAAAAATGCAGCTCATATTGCTTTAAGTCATTTTTTCTGAAACTCGCTCTCTTAGAATAAAAAAAATTCTGAATTGATCTTTAAGTTTCAGACCTTGAGTTAATTTCATTATTTTCACATTTTGTAAGTTTTTTTCGTTCCTTTTAAGATTATGTACCTTGCTTAGTTACGGAAGCCCATTCAAGACCTTTCAGAAAATAGCTTTTAGATGGGCTTCCATACACAATAAAGAATGCACTTTCTTGACACAGAGTTTTTTGGCCAAAGAAGAAATCCCAACTGGTTATTAATATAATGGGATAGAAGACAAAGATATAGCCCATAAAAACAAAAATAACCCAAAATAACAACCTTTTAGAAAACGCAATTTGACCAGATGTCAATCATTATGACAGGAGGAATAAACAGAAGTCGCAGCTTCTTCAGAGTCAGACTATTGCTTTTTATCGTTCT